AATTTAATTAATAACTTGATGTGCTTGCTTTTCCAAATTCTTCTTGCACTGTGATCTCTGTCATACTTCCCTAAGGTCACTAATGTTCAGGCATCTTGTCAAAAACCTAGTTTTATTTACCACTCTGTGCTCCCACTGTACCCTCATTCGGGTCCAACTACTCAGAGAAAAGATATGGACAAGAGAAATGGAAGTTTTTGCTCCTGTGACCACAATTCCTCTGATTAAAGAAGAATCCCATATCTCAGAAAATTAGCCAATTACATGCTCCTCTCTGCTGCCATTGCCTCTAACAAATCCTTTCCTGCTCCTTGAAACTAAAATGGAAGGCTTCTTTTAGACCTTTCTTGGGCAATGTTGAAATATTGATGCCAACCGGGCTCGGTGGCTCAGCCTGTAATCCCGCGCCTTTGGGAGGCTGAGGTGAGTGGATTGCCTGAGCCCGAGGGTTCGAGACCCGCCTGGGCAACTTGGCGAGACCTCATCTCTACAATAAATTTAAAAAAATTAGCCGGGCGTGGTAGCGCACGCCTGTAGTTCCAGCTACTTGAAAGTCTGAGGCGGAAGGATCGCCGGAGCCCAGCAGGTCGAGGCTGTGGTGGCTGGGAGCCGCCACTGCACTCCAGCCTGAGTGACAGAGTGAGACTCCAACTCAAAAAAATAATAAATAAATAAATAAATAAATAATAAAATTAAATTAAATTTAAAAAATATTGATGCCTACTTCTAGGTTTGGGGTATACCTTCAATTCAGTTCAGTGGATTCCAAGATAATCCTTTCTCCCCAAGATCTCCATCATCTTCCAATGTTACCTGTATAGCTATTATATAATTAAACCAAAGGTAACCCCTTATTGGTCTCTGAGACAGTTAGCACGTAAGACCTCCAGTGCCAATACTTTAAAGTTAGTCCACATATGCACTTTTTCAACATGCCTGTAATTCCGGCTACTCGGAAGGCTGAGGCGGAAGGATGGCCAGAGCCCAGCAGGTCGAGGTTGCGGTGGCCGGGAGAGGCCACTGCACTCCAGTCTGGGTGACAGAGTGAGACTCCAACTCAAAAAACAAACAAACAAACAAACAAAAGAATCAACCTACTTTACAAAAAACCCACCTTGTCAAACTGAAACAGACTTTTGCTAGCCATAGACAAACTCTGGAAGCAATCCAAGTTGCCAAGCCCACAGCTGTCCTTTTGACTTCTGAGAGACAGAGATTCCTTTGCTGAGTGAGGACTCCACTGTGCTGATGAGAGACATCACTTGGACAGATTAGTTCCCTCTAAGAGTCTCTTCTCTCCCAAGAGTTCTCTTACTTTCCTCCTCTTTTGCATGGTGTCCAGACATGCTGTCTTAAAAAGGATCCTGCTATGAGGGACTTCTCATGTCACGTAACCTCTCTGAGCACCGCATGAGTCAAGCTCATTGTGCTCTAATGCCACCTATCATCAAACCTTTATTCCTTGTTCAGTCCTGAAATTTTCATACTTTAATACTTCCCAACAGATTTCTTTTCTCAAGAGTTTCACACGAGTAATTATTACTAGGTCTATAAAATTTGTTTTGATATCTTACACATTTAGATTACTTTTACGCAGACAGTAGCTTTTGTTATATATTTGTCTGGGCAGGTTATGTGACTTATTTTTAAATGCTAATTCTTATTACTAAATTGTATTCTATTCCATTTTGTACTCCAGTTGGTCTCAAAACTTTTGGCCTATGAGCTTTTTATACATGTAAAGTTTTTGAGTACCTCCAAAAGTGTTGCTTATTTGAGTCATGCTCATTTAAATATATCATAGTAGACATTGAAATGGAGAAGTTTTAAATCTATCTCCGGATCTCATTTACATTTTAAAATGTTAACTTGTTGCCAAAGATAATAAATATACTAATATAGACAACATATTTATGAAAAATAACTATATCTTGAAAATAAAACAATAATTAAAGAGTGGCTTTCTTTACATTTTTGACATTTTTTCTAATGTGTGTATTAACAGAAGACAGGTGGGTTCTCAGATTTGTTTCTATATTCAGTCTTTTGGGATATATTTTTGAAACAGATATATTTTCAAAAAAGAAAGGACTCTTTTAGATACAGAGATTATTGAACTTTTCCTCCATTAGCACAATCCAATAGCTTACTTTTTTAGGAGAAAATCCATCTGTACACAGATACTTGATTGGAAAAGAGATGGCCCCAGAGACCCTCTGAAAGGTGTGGGGACCTCAAGGTTTTTTTGAAATACACTTTGAGAATCTTTGCTATAGAATATTGTCAACCATTGCATGCACTCTGAAAAAGCATAAAAATGGTCATGCTTAATATAAAATTTTCTTTCAAGAAGTAAAAGAACTTCTAAGCTTGCATCTATTTATCTATTGACAAGAGAGATTTTTCCATGTTAACACTGGGCCATTTATTTACTTTAGTTATCATCTCTCACTGTGGAAACAGAAAGTCAAAACAGTATTTTCCACACTTCCAACTGTAATTTTTTTCTCTTGGATTTGCTTTAATAAGTATTTTATTTATGGTAAAATGCCATAGACATCTAGCTATGAATTCACTTTTAAATAAATTGTGTACAATTTGTTTCAATTTTTCATTTAAACTTTTCTGATTGTAAAATTTATTGTTAGAATAGAAACATGCATGATGTCTACTGACAGCAATTTGAAATATCTATTTTAGTCTTCTTCACTTAATATAAATTGTTCATTTACCCCTTGACCTATACATTTTGTTCCTGGGAAGTTAAATGCAAGATTTATTACAATAAATTAATGCTATAATATGTATATATGTGGCTGGTTTTGGCCAGTAATTTAATACATGTCCAGTAGTGTACCCACTGGGTTTGGGAGACTGTGAAATTTGAACAAGAGTAAAGATGTAATAAAGTCATTAAAATAAGCTTTGCAAATGTGGCTGCTCAGTTTTTTCACTTTTTCTATCTTCAGTAATATTATTCAATGGAAAGAACCAATTATTAATGAAATCATGGGAAGATATGAGGAAATACATTAATATACTTTCCATACAAACTGAAAATAACAATATAGAATGTTGGAACTACAAGGTACTTTAGTGTTAACCTGGTCTATCTGTTCTCTTGGCTGAGAGAACTTCTGTGGCTTTGAATGGCCACATAGTCTTAAAAGAAGAGACAAACAAACAAAAAAATTGTGAGTATTAAGTTTAACAGTCCTTGGCTAAATGGAAAATCTACATATTAATTTAATTGATGATTTACATTTAGCTCTGAATACGAATTAAATTATAAAACAGTAGAATTTCCTGACTGTGGTAGTGTGGGGTTAGTTTTCTTGAACCGAAATAAATTTGGAGGAATTAATGGGTACTGGCTAATCTGAACCATACAAACTGTGACATAAATAGGTGTTCCATGGTTAGAATCACATCCTTTATCTTCTGAGAACTATCTGAAGGGTGGAGAAAGACTTGGAAGACTCAGAAGACATATGTCACTTCTGGATGCCATTACTGAAAAAAGGAAAATCAAACTGTCAAATTAGTGTCTTTGTTGCCTAAGCAGACAGTGAGAGGAATTATAACTTGAAGGTGAGCTATAGCCTAGTGAGACTTATAGAGCTACTTCCTTACACATTCTCATGTTTCTTGCACCTGAAGAATGAAAATAGAAACCTACCAGAAAATGCTGACTACCTAACACATTCAGAATACAAATCTATTAAAGAGTTCATTTCATTGTAATTCTCTAATAGGTTAAAAATTTTTGATTGTTATAATAAAAATAGTAATAGTGCTCTTGGAACTATGCTTATACATAACAAAAGGCAAAGCATTTTGTTTTAAATGTTATTTTCCATAATTACAAGGGAAAGAAAGCAGGATACAAAAAGTCAAATAGCAATGTACTTAAAATTGAGAGTTAATATCTGATGAAAGTCTATCCTTTGTAATACTAGTAATTATTATGTTATTTTAGAGACAGCATGTCAGATCATGTTTCTTAAATCTAAACTCATAAAGGTCGAAACTTGATATATTGTGTTTAATTACTAAGTTTCATATCAGTTCTTATCCCCACTCTCAATGGCAATAAAACAACATCAATGATGACCTGAATACTATTGTGCAGATACTTAGTTATATTCAGACTTCTAAATGTCTCTCTGGTCTTGTTGTTTAGAGTATGTAAAAAACAAATGTATTACTATAATTAATTTTAGGAATATTACTTTATCAAATCAGTTTAAAATCTTGAAAGTATGCATTGAGTTACAATTTATGCTCTGCTTTGAAATTACCTTCTATTGTGGATACTCATGATTTGTTTATTGCAAACAGTGCATTTCAGTAACAGTTTCAACACATCCAAATTGTGCAGTGTATACAGTTTTTACAATGCAATTAGTTAGAAATTGGGGACACTTAATTTTAAAATTAAATAGTTCATGAAAATCTATTTTCATACTCTCTGTGGCTTATGCAATTTCTCTGCATAAAATGTTCTATAGTTGTTTGAAGAAATTAAGTATAGTTAATCAGAAAGAACATTATGGTTTGACATCTAATTTGAAAGCCCTGTCTTGAAGCAGTGATTAATTGCTATGGCTTTACACAGACCAATAAGAACCCAAATAGGAAATTCATTTATGCTCAAAGTAGAACTTGTATTGATATAAGTCAGGGTAGTATTGTCTGTCATTTGTGAGAAGTATTTTATAAAAGTATATATGTTTGCTAAAATGTATAGTTCATTGTTTAGTTTAAAAGACTAAGAAGCAGTAAAATAGCATCACAATGAATTAATCTAATTATTGTACATTACAAGGCACATCAGTGATCATAAAGTTAATTTTACTATGAAACCAAGTCATTTCCACTGATCTAAGTAAACCTTCAAGTTAAAGATTAGCATTATAAATGTGATTTTAAGAATTATCAAAATGAAGCTGGTGAAAATGTTTACAACTCTATTTATTCTATGTCTGTCTTTTCTTCAGTGCCGCCAGCAATCACAATGCCTCAGAAATCCTTTAATGCTACAGCAGAGAGAGGAGAAGAGATGACATTTTCCTGCAGGGCCTCAGGGTCTCCTGAACCCACCATCTCCTGGTACAGGTAGGCTCTACACCCATGTCCCTCTAGCTTGTGTCCTTAATCGGGCTCATGGAATAAGATTTGGGATTTTAATCTTTTTGTTGAGAAGTAAATCATTTTTTTGTTTCCTTAAAAAAATTATGATACTATTGACTGGATTAAGGTAGCTAGATTAAATTGCTAAGGAGATCAGCGATGTGATCTTGCCCTGATATTCTAAATCAAAGGCTATACCCATCGTAGTTACTCTTGTCTACTGATCAGACTTCTGGTCAAAATAAGCCTATGAGCACCTGTGACTTATTCAAGCATGTTATAGTCACCACAGTGTGTCTTGAACTAAACATCCTAATATTATTTACATCAGTTTGTATAAAATACCATATTTTATTATAATACAATTGTATATTATTTTTATTTACTATATTATTTACTTACTATATTATGGAAAAAGCTAATTTTTAGAGTTAAAATTTAATGTCTTTATGATCATTTTTTAAAACTTAATCTCATCAAACGAGTAAGCACTGTATTCTGAATGTATTTTGTGATAGATTTCTTATATCTAATTATTTGGAATTTTAAAATATTCTTTTGTTTCTATTAAGATCAAACATATATTAAACTATTCAATTATTTTAGGCTGTATCTCAAACTACTAGAGACAATAAAATGTATAGCTAGATAATATTGTAAATATGCACTAGTAATGCAGTTTACAGGACAAACATTAGCTACAAATATTTCTGGAATCACTTTTGCACTTCATAAACCATATCATGCAAAAGTAATTATAAAAATGACCAATAAAATATATATCCAAATGTACAAAAAGAGTCCCTACTGAAGATTAGGGTTTTATTCTAATTCCTTTAAGATAATAATTGAAGTTCAAAACTATTTTTATTCCTTTCTATCTGAGCAGTTACTGACATTATTTTCAACTTTCAACCCTCTGTTTACCCTGTTTATCCTATTAATATAATAAATAGCAATAAACAAGATATTTCTTCACATAATCTTTTTTAGATTATTTTGCAGGCATGAATTGTCTTGTGACACACTGTTGGCATTTTGTAATGTGATTACATATCAAATATTTTCATATTCACCCCAGATAATCATCATCTACCTCAGTGACTGCTGGTTTACTAGTCTGGCTGCTTAACAGTCAATATCAGATCTAATTGTGTCACAGAAAAGCTCTTGGATTATTCATTACAATGAAGAAATATTGTTTCACAATCTTATTTTAATGATAACTATATTTCCAGAGGTACCTTTTTGAAAATTTCTTTCAGCCAGACTTATTTAACAGATAAAGAAACCAAAACAGTCTTTGTTATTATTTTAAAGATATAGGGGTACATCAGGTCTAGGTACATAAGTGGTTATCTGTGCAAGTAAAGTTTGGGTACCCTTACTGTTGTTATGTCCCCCTCCCTTCCCTGACAGTGTCCCACTACTGTAAATCCCTTTCTTATAGCATTATGACAAATGTTCAGGGTCTGTTTATGAATGAGTACATGTAGTATTCAGATCTTTGTTTCTGTGATAATCTGTTGTTAAAAAAAGAAACTAAAACAAAATAATAATATGAGTTGGAAGTTGAAAAGCAAAAATGAACTGGTGAAACCCATGTTCCATTTTGATGTAGAGTGGGAAAGCATTCTAAACTTCAAACTTCTGGCTCTCTTAGCCAAGGAATAGAAGCTGATTTTAAAAAATGATGGATAAACATTGTTTTGAAATAATTATGCTGAGTCATTTATTAAGAAAGGTTATAGAACACAAATTCAAGAGCAGGAAATCATGCATCTTATTTAAATTCACATTTACATGTAATCCATCATTTCTGAGGGAGAAATACATGTAAAATGAGTGCTTGATTGTGATGGTTTTAGAGCACATGCCCCTGAAGAATATGACTCCAAGTCTAAAAATTAAAGATCCTTTACTTTTTTGTGTAACTACTATTAGCCTTTATCACAGAGATTCCTGGTTCGATAGTAAACTCACTTCTGCCACCTATGTTAAGTTGATATTAGTAACACACATTTGTCATTCGTTCCATCTTCAGGTTAAGATTAGAACATGTACTATCAGTCAGAATGACACTGTGAACCTGGAAGCTTTCAGTTTGGCCATGTTTAGTTTCAACAGCTGATAATGATAAATGAACATGTTACTGGTTAATGTAACTGGTTTATGTATTTACTCTACTGTACTTTAAATCATTATTTTAGTGCATATTCCTTCTACTTATAAAAGAGAAATGTTAACTGTAAAATAGCCTCAAGGTCCTTTAGGATGTCTTCCAGAAGAAGGCATTATTATCATAGGCAATGACAGCTTCATCTGTGTTGTTGTCCCTGAAGACTTTGCAGCGGGACAAGCTGTGGAGATGGAAGACAGTGATATTGATAATCCTGACCCTGAGTAGACCTAGACTAATGTGTTTTCGAAGTTGTTTTTTTTTTAATCTTTAAAAATCAAGATTTATTGAGAGGACAGAAAAGCTCCCAGAGCAGGAGGGAACCCAAAGAGATTGCCTAAATGTGTGTGTGTGTGTGTGTGTGTGTGTGTGTGTGTGTGTGTGTGTGTGTGTGTGTTTAACAACAACAATAACAACAACAAAAACTAAAAGATTAAAAAATGTAAAATTAGAAAAAAGATTAAAGAATGAGAATATAAAGAAAGAAAATACTTCATATGACTGGCTGTACAATGTGTTTGAAGCAAAGTGTTATAAGAATCAACAGTGGAAAAAATTAAGCGTATGATATAAAAATGTTACAGTAAGCTAAGGTTAATTTACTATTAAAGAAAAGCTAATAAATTTAGGTAACCCATGTCTACAGTGTTTATAAAGCCAGCAGTAGTATACAGTATTGTCCTAAGCCTTCATATTCACTCACTACTCACTGACTCACCCAGAGCAACTTCTAAGCCTGCAAACTCCATTCATGGTTAAGTGCCCTATACAGGTATATAAACACCATTGTGTTATAATTGCCTCCAGTAGTCAACATAGTAACATGCTGTAGAGGTTTATGGCTTAGGAGCAACAGTCTATACCATATAGGCTAGGTGTATAGTAGGCCATAGCCACCTAGGTTTGTGTAAGTACAGTCTGTGATGTTCACACAGCTACAAAATGGACTTATGATCCATTTCCCAGAATATATCCCTGTCATTAAGTGGTACAAGACTGTATCATTTATTTTATACATTGCTTGAATCACTGTGCTCATATATTAAGAATTACTGCTTTCATGATTATGAGAAATATTGTTTTATCATTTTCTTGTTCTTGAATTGCTAGGGATCAGGGTACTACTGGTCTCATAGAATGAGTAGGAAAGTATTTCTTCCTCTTCTGCCTTCTGATAGAATTTTTACATAATGTTTATTATTGCTTACTTAAATGTTTGGAAAAATTCCCAGTGAAACCATCTGTGCCATGATTTCTCTTATGTGCAGGTTTAACTACAAATTCAATTTTTTTTTATAGACATAGAGCTAGTCAGTATTCTTTAGTGAAATTTTTGATTTATGCAATTCCAGGAATTTGTTCACTTCTTTTCAATTGTATTTACCGGCATGAAGCCATTTATAGTAGTCCTTTGTTATTCATTAATTTGCATATTATCTAGTGTTTTTCATTCTCAAATCCTGATAACTTCGTAGCTGGTTATTTCTTATATATATTTTTTTATCCTGATTTGTTTAAAGGTAGGTTTATGCACATTATAATCTCAGTGATTCAGCTTTTGGTTTCAATTATTTTCTTTCCTTTGTTCTAGTTTATTGATTTCTGCTTTGATTTTTATTACTGTGCTTCTTCTGTTTACTTTGTGTTTAAAATTCTCTCCTGTTTTAGTTACTTATGGTGGACATTATTTCAGTGATTTTTAATCATTTATTCTTTTCTAATATAAATATTTTGTAATATAAATGTTCCCTTTAAACATGGCTTTAATTGCACCCTGCTGATTTTGATGTCATTTTTATTTTTGTTGAGCTTAAAATATTTTTAAAAATTTCCTTATGATATAACCTTTAATATTGGTTATTTAGAAGAACGTTAGTTTGTTTTTAAGTGTGGAAGTAGACTTCATAAATATTTCTGCTATTGATTTCTAACAACATTCTATACTTGTCAAGAAACAAACTTTTCATAATTTCAGTAGTATACGTGCAGATTTGTTACATGGATACATGGCATAATTTGGGTTTCTAGTGTACCCATCCCCCAAATAGTGAACACTGTACCTAAAACTGGCAAGTAATTTTTCAGTCCTCACTTGGCCCCTTTCGGTGTCTCTAGTTTCTAATATTTTTCTCTGTATGTCCATATATATGTACTTATATTTTAAGTCCCACTTATAAGTGAGAACATGTGGTACTTGATTTTTTTGTTTCTCATTAATTTTAATATTTATTTCTTTATTTGGGGGATATTTGTTTGCTTGTTTGTTTTGAAGTCACAATCTTAGTCCAGGCTGGAGTGTAGTAGCACTATCATGGCCCACTGCAGCTTCAACCTCTTGGACTCAGAGGTTTCTTCACCTCAGCCTCCCAAGTAGCTGGTACTACAGCCACATGGTCAGGATAATTTTTTATTTTTTGTAGAGATGAGGTCTTGCTATATTGCCTAGGATGTGTGCGTTATTTCACTTACAATAACATCCTATAGCTCTATCCATGCTGCTATGAAAGATATGATTTCATTCTCTTTAAGGCTGTGTATTATTCCATGGGGTATGTGTATATCTGTCCATTTATTGGGGGTACCAAAATGTATACACACTATAAGAGATGTTATCTATGTATTATATTCAAAGTACTTTTCAGAACTGACTAGACACCTCTTGTAACCACATTGAACACCTCTTGTAATTTCCAAAGTCAAACGTGACTTGTATTCATATTTTGTCAATGATATATGTTGAATTTTACAATTTTTTCCTTTATTAAAATGTGTATACATTTTTGGCACCCTCTGTACAGCTCACATT